AAGATCCAGTTCCTGAGGTCGCGAGAGCTTAAACTAAGGAACTTTTCCATCAGAAGGTTATTGAACTTTAATTTTTGGTGACATTGTTGTGCCCATCCACCAGACTTTAGTTGTTCTAGCCAGCAGCACTTTGTCAAGGAGGAGTCCTCCAGATTGTTCAGTCTATGCCAATATCTAAGATAAGCCAGATCAATTCTAGCGGCAATTGAGGGTAGGCCTAACTCAGCTCTGAGGTGAGCCGAGGGAGTTCCTGGGGGGAGCCCCAGTATCCACCTCATGAATTTGTTCTGCAGGATTTCTAATTTGGGCTTGACTGTCTCTCCCCAAAGTTCTGTCCCGTAGAGCATTTGTGCTAGAATTTTGACAACGAACACCTTGAGGGCAGGATTTACCAGCTGGCCTCCTCTGCTGTAGAAAAATCTTTTTAATTGCCCTAATGATCTGGTGCTCAGTAAGATGGTGGCATTTAAATGCTGTCTCCAGGAGAGTTTCTCACAGAATTGAAGGCCCAAGTATTTAAATGAGTGTACCTGCTCGATAGCATGCCCATCCACTGACCAGTTATACTTAGGTGCTCTCTTCCCAAAGACCATGATTTTTTGTTTTGGTGTAGTTGATTGTTAGCCGTTCCTCTTTACAGAGCTGCCCAAATTTGGACAGCATTCTTTTGAGACCAATTTTATTCAAAGATAGTAAGACCAGGTCATCAGCATAGAGCAGTATTGAGATCTTCCTACAGCCAATGGTTGGAGGGAAGAACGTGGGGGAAGCCATTTGAGGGATAAGGCTGTTTATATAAAAGTTGAAGAGAAAAGGTGCTAAAATACAACCTTGTTTCACCCCTCGGCTAATGGGAATCTCTTGTGATAGAGCTCCCTGTAAGCCTATAAATATAAATATATAAATATAAACTCTCCAAAAAAAAATTTAGCCACTCATCTCTCTGCCTCAGAGCATATGATATAGTGTACATAACTAGTGATTTACAAAAAAAAGAGTAAAATTAAGAATGGATGGCACAGTTTTTCTATTTAACGGTTTACTCCTCTTCAATTTTATTTTTTCTGTCAATTCTTATTAGACTGTACACAGGCTAGAGAACAAGATTGTTTCACTGATCTAGAAACTACTCTAGGATATTCCTAGGATGTAAAGGATTTAAATAAGAAATAACAGTAATAATTTCCAGAATATTCTAATAGCTTACCTTAGTTTCTGTTATCATGCCATCAAAAGGACAAGAATATACAGCTATTTTAGCATTCTTAACAGAAGTCACATCACCCTCTGTTTCTTTTTTAAAAACCATGCCATGCAATACTGTAGAGGCACAAATACCAGAACCCTGAAAAGAATACAGTAAAACCACATTTAATTTCTGCCCGTTTATATAGATTTATCATTTCTGGACTCTACATGCACTTCCTAAGCAATATAGAGTCTAAAAGCATTTTCTTTCTATTGGCAGCACTTACTGTATTTTTCGCTCCATAAGACGCACCAAATTTTTAGAACAAGAAAACAGGAAAAAATAACCTGTTTTCTTCTCCTAAAAATTGCTGAGCCTTATGGAGAGGTCCATCTTATGGAACACACCCTAGGCCCCTTTGGAGGCTCGCCCTGCTCCCCCGGGGGTCAGAGGGGGCGAAATCGCCAGCTTCTGGGACTCTTCTGAAGCTTCCCAAGCCTCAAAAGAGTCACAGAAATTGGCAATTTCGCCGGCACTGGCCCCGTGCAGCGCCGGCACTGCCCCCGTGCAGGGGTGGGAGGAGCGTCGCAAGGGTCCCGGAAGGCTCACTCGGACCCTTGCGACGCTCCACCCACCCCCCACGGGGCCAGGGGGAGTGAAATTGCCAGTTTCTGGGAGTCTTCTGAGGCTTCTAAAGCCTCAAAAGACTCCCAGAAACTGGAGATTTCGTCAACACTGGTCCCATGCGGGGGTGGGAGGAGCGTCGCAAGGGTCCGAGTGAGCCTTCCAGGACCCTTGCAACGCTCCCCCCACCTGGAAGCTGGCGATTTCGCCCGCGCTGGCCCCGTGGGAGGAGCGTCGCAAAGGTCCTGGAAGGCTCACCTGGACCCTTGCGACACTCCCTCCCCCCCACGGGGCCATCGGGGATGAAATTGCTGCCTTTGCTGCATGACGCACGGACTTTCACCCCCACATTTTGGGGGGGGAGTGCGTCTTATGGAGCAAAAATACAGTAGTTTTTCTTTCTCTATATATTCCTTGTTTTACATATTAAGTTACTTAATCGGTTATCTTTGATGGTTTTTTCCCTTTGAGGAAAATTTTGAAAATGTAACCGTCTGCTGAATTTTTGTGGAAACTCACATACACCCTGGTGAGTTCCACAACCCACTAGGGATTTTAAGGCAGGTCTTCTGAGTCCTAATCTGACACTTTATCCACTTCATCACACTGGCTCTTCCCCTCTATCTGAATACCACCAAGATCCAAATGTTTTATAAACTAAATTAAATACTAATATTTGATAGCTTAAGTGTTGGGTTTTTCTTACACATATTGATGCTTAAAACTCCTACCTTAGTTGCACTAAGCCCTCTTAAATATAATAGCCAAGAAGTAAGTTCTAATGAATAAAACACAATTAACCTTACACTTCTGAATATGGGCAACTTTAGGATCTACACAGATACTACTGAAAAGGAATACAAGCAATGACTTACTAAGATCTTGCACACTCTAATATTGTCAACATTGAAGTGGCCCGATTCAGGATAAATTGACACTGTAAGATAATGAAATACAGAAGTGTATGATTTTAGAAAAGGCTACCACAATATAAAACTCCAATATTTCAAATTATTAATTTAGCTACTTCAATTAATGGTATATTAAACAATGTTTGTTTAGATGTTGTTGCCAACATCTGGCAGCCAAGGCACTCTAGGCAGTTTACAACAACTTGACAAAACAATAAAATAACAGAATAAAACAACATCAATAAATTAAAGAGCTCAAAACAAAATACCATAAAATACAGTGGAAACAATACAATTAAAAGCATAAAAACATGATGGTGTGTTGAATGTTATATTATTGGAGGCATTGTTGCATCAGGCTGTTTTTGTTCAGGAAAAGCCTGTCTAAATAGTTAGGTTTTTAATAGGGTTTTAAAAGTGCCCAGTGAAGGGGCCAGGTGAACTTCAGGTGGGAGAGTATTCCACAGTTGTGGGGCTACTGCCGAGAAGGCCCAATTTCTGGTAGCTGTTTTGCAGGTCTCTCTCGGGGTCAAACTTTCAGCAGCCCTGCCTGTAATGATCATATTTATCCAGTAAAAATACTATTTTGGGGGGGGTCGCTTAACGAGTGCACCGTTTAACGCTGAATCCGCATAGCGACATCGCAAAAGCGATCACATTGCGATGTTTAGATAGGGCTAAAATCGCATTGCGACGATCGGTAAGCGTTTCACTTACTGATCTTCGCATTGCGGTTTTTCTTAACAGCTGTTCGGCGGTTCCAAAATGGCCGCCGGACACCCAAAATGGCAGCCGCAACCATTTTCGCGCCCTGCCCTCTCTTACCGAGGGCGTGAAAATGGCAGCGCTATGGAGGAACGGTGAGTTTAGGGCCCCATAGAAACGCATTAAACTAAGTTTAATGTGTTTCTATGGGGTTTTCTGTTCCGTTTAGTGATATTTTTACCCAGCGACGATTAATCCAGAACGGATTAACTTCGCTTTGTGGGGCACCACTGTATTATCCTATATGTTGAAAGATACTTTTATCCATTGTTGCGGATCTAACAGTGCAGGGACACAAGTGCCTGTAAGTGAAATGCAAAACTTGACAGTAAGAAATACAGTCAAGAGGATATCAGCGAGTAGTTTTAACCTGGACTTCAATTACAAAACTAAGTGGGATGTATGCTCATATGAAAATAAAATATTGCATGTGTTACTAAACAAACCTTCTGTAAGTTCAGATAAAACAATACAAATGTACTCACCACATGCTTCAGCAATCAATTTAGTTAGAAAGACTTCATTGCCACGCTGTTTACTCATTATTGAAGTCTGCAGCAAAGATGCCACCTCTTCAACATCTCGAAGATTTTTTGCAGAACAGCACACTAGATCGGGTAAAATCTCTAGGGCTTTCTTGGATGCTTTTTCATAGCCTTCAATCACCTGCAATTAGACACACAAACATGTACTGTATGTATTATGATATACAGTGGTGCCTCGCTTAGCGAGTGCACCGTATAGCGATGTTTCCGTATAGCGATCCCTTTTTCGGGATCGCTATACGGAAACATACCGGATTTTCGCAATGGGGAAAACCCGCATTGTGAAGATCGGGTATTGCGGTGGCCATTTTGGAGCCGCCGAACAGCTGTTCGGCGGCTCCAAAATGGCCGGCGGGATACCCGATCTTCGCAATGCGGGTTTTCCCCATTGCGAAGGTCCGGTATGTTTCCGTATAGCGATCCCGAAAAAGCGAGGGCACGAAAATGGCTGCCGGCAAGGGGAATCCTCGCTGAACGGGTAAGTAAGCAAGGTATTGGAACGCATTAAACTAAGTTTAATGCGTTTCAATACGTTTTCCCTACCCGTTTAGCGACGATTCCGCATAGCGAGGGTTAATCCGGAACGGATTAACCTCGCTATGCGGGGCACCACTGTACGTTGCTGCTGCTAAGAGTTCCAGATCAGTTTGATATTTTTACCTTGCAAATAGATTTCTGTACTAGTGTGTCAAAAAAACCTGTACAAGCTATACTGGAACAAGATCAAAGTGCAATAATGTTTGAAAAGCTAAGGAGGATGAGATCTCAGCTACAGTTCTAACTATAAGTACCTTAACTCAATGGCAAAGTGCTGCAGAAATCTCATGTGGTCTCCAGCTTGCAATCACATAAGCCAGAGATCACGTCTCCTGGAAACAGTGGGGTTATATCCTGTTTGGATTACTGTAGCACACGCTATGTGGGGCTTCCTTTAGAAAGTGTTTAGAAAACTGCAGGGGTCTGAAAATGATTCAGCCAGAATGTTAACTGGGGCTGGCTACTAGGATCACATAAATGCTTAGAGCTCCACCAGCCAGATATCTTCCTTTATAAACCTGCCTGGGTGTTAAAATCCTCAAGGGATGCCTTCGTCTCGGTCCCACAAACCTCACACGTGCATTCAATGAGGACACGAGAGGGTCTTCTCTGTCACTTCTCCCAAGCTATAGAACAACCTGCCACAAGAGGCCACAACTTTGAAGTCCTTTGACAACCAGACTTTTCTCTTCAGGCAGCCTTTGTCTCAGTAATTCATTGCCTGAGAAGTGGTCTGATGGTGTTTGGGTTTTTTTCCCCTTCCAGTATTTATATTGTTTCATATTATATGCTGCCTTCAATCCTCTTACAAAAAGCAGAGTAGAAATATTTTAAATAAATAAGCAATAATAAAAGTCAACATCCTCCTTAAGCAACTGGCGGTTTCAACAACCATTTGTGCCAAAAGTCCCTTTGCATAACTGGAAAAGAGTAACAGAAATCTGGCTACTGGGCCTCACATCTGAGACATAGACGTATGAGGTTATTCATAGGCATATTGTCCTAGAATACTATCTTGAGGGAAAGAAAAATCACCTCTGAAACAGAAAGTCCCATTCTTAGAAGCTCCTCGGCATGTTCCAGAAGGGCTCCAGCAAAGACAAGAACAAAATTTGTTCCATCACCAACTTCTTGCTCTTGCATATGAGAAGCCATGACAATCATTTTTGCAGCAGGATGTTGAACCTATGCAAAATGTTGCATGAAGAAAAACTATTAAGAATAGCAGTAAATAGCAAACATTAGCATGTTCTACTACATATTCCACTTTTAAATAAATATAAGCCATTAATATGTTGCTAATAAATGTTTGAAAGATACTGGGCTAGATCTAAATATCAATTACCACCAATATTCAACAGATTTGTATTAGTGTTTTCATATTTCAGTACCCGTCATTATCACCACATATTCCTTATATATATTCTAGCTCAATTCAGTTGCAGACACACAACTGTCTGAACTTCAAACCACTATGCAGTCCTATTTTTTATCTCGCCTGCCCAAAACAGTGCACTTCACATCCTTCTCACGGGAAAATGTAAGACACAAAAGACTGGTAATGCACAGTAAACAAAGTGTTTCAGGAAATCATTCTCATGAACAATTCAGCATGTATCAAACAGATTTCCGGGGGGAGGGGGAGGCAAAAACTTACCTCTAGTTCCCTTAAGATGGTAGCCGCATCATTTGTAACAAAAAGCTTCTCCAAGTGATTGATAACCATTTTGTTCATTCCTAAAATAAGTAAAATAAAAAACATCAAAGTCCATTATGCATATTCATGCAGTATTTACATTTTCGTATACTAATTCAATTAATCCAAGTTATCAAAGCTGAGATTTTCACAGTGAAAATAGTATAAAATGAACAAAGTTCAGAAGAAGACTTATCTGATTGTTATTCTGCAAATCTATGTACAAACAATGAACACATTGATGTTTAAGTACATAAAAGAATATGTATGCCATTTAATGTTATTGTTTTAGTTAAATAAAAAAAATGTAAGGAGACATCACTCCTGCCGGGACGGGATACACAGTTGAGTCTTCGTCTCCTCGTGCTGCTGAATGTAAATAAATTGCTAAATGCCTTTTCCCTTCTTGAAATGTGAGTAAATCTGCTTAAATTCTTTGTGAAAAGTTCAAGAAGATAGAAGTGCGTTTTAAACTGTAAAAGCCTGGCTGCTTATCTGGGGAATGCACTTTCGCTTTCGCTTAGAAGAACACCAGTGAAAGTTGAACAGCAAATGAGGTGTAAAAAACTACTTTTGTTTTCTGTGCTATGAATCTTTTTGCTTTGCTTACGAGAAAAAAATAGAGATAAGAGTTCTAAAAGTTGGACATGAAAGCCATCAGAGAAAAAAACATCAGATCATAGTCTCAAACACTTAAGATGAATAGAGGTGGAATCCCCCACTCCTAAAGAAGTTTCTAAAGAGATTCGGGAAGCTGCTGGAAAGGAGGAGTTAGAGGCTACCTCTCTGGCAGTCTTACTGAAGCCAGCATGGGGAAAAATATTGCGGAATTAACAACTTGTGTGAAAGATCTGGCTAAAGATATACCATGCCAGATTGATAGAAAATTGGAACAGATTCTTTCCAAAATAGACTCTTTAGTGAAGGAATGTCAACAGATGGGAAAGGATATAAAAGCACTCCTGGGAGAAGTACAGGGGATGAGAGCAAGCATAGTAAAAATGGAGGACAGAGTAAAGTAAATGGAAGAGCTATCAAAACAGAATGAAGGGAAAACAAAGACACACCAACAGAAGATAGATGATTTGCAAAAGAAAGTGATTTATCTGGAAGATAGGTCAAGATGCAACAACATCAAAATAATGAATTTGAAGCTGCAAAAAGGAGCTGACCTTAAGCAGGAAGTGGTGACCTGGATAAATTCTATTATGAATTCTCAGCATGTGGCTGAAGAGGATATAGAGAATTCATTTTGTTGGGAACCCCAGAAATAAGAGGCCAAGACCTATAATATTGAAAATTTCCAACTATGCTAAAAAGGAGCAATTTCTCAATGTCACTAAAAAAACGGAACTATTATTTTATAGGTCAACCCCAATACAGATTTATCAAGATTTAAGCAACGAATCAATACAGTGGAGAAAAACGATGAAACCCATTACATCAATTCTAATCAAGAATGGATGGAGATACAACTGGGGTCACCCAGTCTTTTTTGATCTTTTAGTTTGAGCAACCCTAGCTTGTTAAGTTTTTATTAAGATAAAATGAAACAAATCCTTCAGAATAAGAATATATCATGGTTGAATTATATGCAATTAGAAAGATGGACTAGTGAGTGGATAAAGAAATATAATAAAGGTAGAGAATATACTACATATGAACAATTTCTATTATCATATGAAGATATTCAGATGACTGATTGCAGTGAATAAAATTTATAGATTCCTGCTTGATCTAGAAGAAGAGACTGAGAAAGAAGGATTGAAGTCAGTGTGGAAACAAGACTTAGGAAAAAGAATAAATGATGAAGAATGGAGGAAAATGTGGAAAACCAGGGTTTTACAATTTATGTTGGTGAGAATAAGAGAAAAAATTTTCAAATTGGGTTTAAGATGGTATTTGACATCGACAAAACTGAATAAAATTAACATTAGATATCTGAATGTCTGTTGGAAATGTGACAAGGAAATTGGTACATACTTTCATATGTGGTGGGAATGCAAAAAAGTACAAAGATTTTGGAAACTAATCATTAAAGAACTAAATGACATATGTGAAAAAGATATAGAATTTAATCCTGAGATAGCTCTGTTATCAATATTTGAGAATGTGGAATATGATCAGATGACTAGAGAATTGATTACCAATTTATTAACAGCAGCCAGATTAATAACAGCTAGGAATTGGAAATTCCATTCTGAATTTTGAATGGAAGAATGGTATAATGAAATATGGAACATTGCTATAAATGATAAGTTAACTTGTAACTTAAAAGTTAAGAAATGAGAGAGGAAAAAGAATAATTTCTATGATATATGGGGCAGATTTCTTGAATATGTGCTAACAAGAGGAAAAGGGAAAGCTCCAAATCAAGAATCAATGCAGTTCTGGAGAAGAGGGCAATAGAGAAAGAAGAATAAAGATAGAGGAAGAAGAGGATTATTGCAAGAGGTCCCAACTATGGTGGTTGGGAACACAGTTGATTTGAACTTTGGTTTATGCATTTTATGTTTACGTTGTAGTTTAAGAAAAATAAATAAATAAATAAAGTAGTTCTCCATACATGAGTGATTAACGTTTTAAACTAAAATCTGTTCTGATATAGCTGTTTTACTAATCTCACAGGTTATTATTCTAAATATGAAACATTCACCTGGTTGCAAATATTAAAGATTATAACTACAAACAAGATTGAGTATTTACATTTAAAATTATGATTTAAATCGACTTGGATTTAAATCAGATCCACTCGAGATACAGCACTGTCTACCTGACACATTAACAAATATAAAGTTATTGCATGTTTTCTAGCATACACTGCACAGTCACTTTTTAAAAATCAGAAAGATCAGACATACCCTGTTTCCCCTAAAATACAGTAAAACCTAACCTGAAAATAAGCCCTGGTATGATTTTTCAGGATGCTTGTAATATAAGCCCTACCCCCAAAATAAGCCCCAGTTAAGTGAAACCCTGCCCTCCACCATTGTGCAGCAACCCAAAGAAGATGACATGACTATGTTTGAATAAATGTAGATGGCTGTACATGAAAAAAATCCTCTGAAAATAAGCCCTAATGCGTTTTTCGAGCAAAAATTAATGTAAGACCCTGTCTTCTTTTCGGGAAAACATGGTAGTACTTATGAAAATTATAACAGTCTTACCATTTGGTCCATAGGCTGTGCGAGTTGTTTGGGCAAGCTCTTTACATGCCATAATATTTCGATACACAGCTTCCTCCAAACCAGAAAAATGCTATAGGCACAAAATTAACTGAGAATTAGAGACATTATGAAGCAACACAAAACTACATCCAAATTTCAAGCGTAATGTTTCAAAGATAAAAATTAGAAGTTACTCTCATAAGCACTTCTCTCTGTTTGGTTTAAATACCACAAATCTGTTTGCATTTAAAATGTCTCCATCTTTTGTTGTTGTTTAGTCGTTAAGTCGTGTCCGACTGTTCATGGCCCCATGGACCAGAGCATTGCAGGCCCTTCTGTCTTCCACTGCCTCGCAGAGTTTGGTCAAATTCATGCTGGTAGCTTTGATGACACTGTCCAACCATCTCATCCTCTGGCCTCCCCTCTTGTCCTCACACTTTCCCAACATCAGGGTCTTTTCCAGGGAGTCTTCTCTTCTCATGAGATGGCCAAAGTATTTGAGCTTCAGCTTCAGGATCTTCTAATGAGCACTCAGAAATTCAATTCCAGATTTGAGAAATTGAAGAAATTTTAGTTAACAGCTGATGAACAGAACTGACATTACTTTTTGCTGGGGAAGAAATTAGGTCCTCAAGCAATTTGAACTTGCTTGTAACACACACATTTTGATTTCACCTAATCTGAACTGCTTTAACCAAGTTGAATGAAAAACCTTCCACGGAATGAGTTAATGGAGTATTTTCTGTTCCATATGAATCATAAGAATCAGCATTAGGACTACAATTAAAGTTTCATGTATACACATTTGATATTAGCTAAACCCACTAGTAATTAATGTTCCCTCTAAAGTGTACGCCTGCATGTGCATGACTCTGCCCCCTTCACACAGGACTTCTCTTGCACCCACAGCAACTGTTTTCAGTCCCTTTGGTTCCACTAGCACAGTGGTTCTTAACGTGGGCAATAATGCCCCCCAGGGGGCGATTTGATTTTTCAGGGGGGCGGTAGAATGAAAAGGGGCGGTGTGGGGTGAAAGAACAGAAGGGGAGCGGTAGGGGGGCCCTGGAACGAGCCAAACCTGTGAAGGTGACTGCAGCCGCAGTGCTGGCAGTAGATCCGGTGCTGCTGCCGCCGCCAGATGATCCAGCTCTTTCTCCCTGCCACGTCTCGCCTTTCTCCTTTAGGGGAGCACTGAGGGTGGATCAGATGGAAGGAAAGGGTCTCTTGGGTCCTCATCCTCACCCCATGAAGTGCTGCCTCGCACCCGGGTGGGGAGGGAGACAAGGAAAGTAGGTAGGTAGGTAGGAAGGAAGGAAGGAAGGTAGGTAGGTATCATCATCTCTGGGAAGGGGGCGATGATAACTTCCTCAATGGCTCAAGGGGGCGTTTCTTTCAAAAAGGTTAAGAACCACTGCACTAGCACAAAAGACGGGCAGAGTCCCACCCAGCAGTGCTGAAAATTAGAGGGAACGTTGCTAATAATTCTAACTTCTCTTTTCAACAAGGTCAATGCACTGACAACCTTGAGCCATCCACACTCTAGTCTAATCAACCTCAATCTCACAGAGTGATTGTCAAAGTAAAACAGGGAAGATAAAACTCATGCATACCACCCAGGGCTCATTGGAAGGTTTAATGAGCAAATAATCCTTAAAAACAAAATACTGGAACATTTTTGTTCCCATGTATTTTGTTCCGTTTTATTCAATTATTGATTTTACTTCTACCCTGACTTTATCCTCGCCTGCCCATCCCCCCAAAAAGGATGCTGGATGGGACAAAAAATTACCCCATTGCAAAATGCTATAGTACATTTGTTTTCTTTCTGAGAAAAAAAAAAACATTGTGTACAACAGTGGATGAAACCTTGCAACACTGCTTAACACTCTTCAGGTGGCAGTGTCACAGAATGTCTAGGTTACAGGTCTAGTTCTGAGTCGATTCTTCAACAAAATGTGTGAACTAAAACAAGCAATCATAGAGAATGATAGTTAATGACTGCCATTACAGCTCAGAGTTCAAAAAGCAGAATGGATACTGGAATTTCATTCAGTTGGCTGACGATGAGCATAACTCATTTACTTTTATCTAAAATACTCAAGGTTTTATTTTTACACATTTGTCCTCTAGGAAAAGTAAACTCTAAATATTTCCCCCCAAAAATATAACATAGTGCCAATGCCACTCCATATTTTGTTAACATGCTCATAGGGATATAGTATCACACCACAGCTCTTCCAAGTGTATCATTAGATGCTGAATGTTCTGAAGGTTAGGGCTTTATAAAGTTCTCCTACCCCTTATCTTCCCCACATTACCCTTAACAGGAATCATCAAAAGAAAGCCATGACTGAACTCAGAGGCATGTTTAGAGACATCATGCTTTTTAATTGTTAAGAACTCACAGGACTCCAAGTGATTATCTCCAGGTTCTAACAGACACAATTGCTGCCCGACCACACTGTGCCATATGGCACATCTTCCCTTGCTAATGTCACATGTTCTATAGAGAGCATGTTGTTTATAGAGTATCTAGAACTGGTTCAGAACCTAACATTCGGATTGTTAACAGAAGCCATGTATAATAAATAGTAATGCCCTTACTGCATAGTTGCACTTTGCTTCAATGCTTCCCACATCTACTTCAAAGAACTGAAGATAGCCTTTATAGCTGTGGATTATGATACAGTATGTATTTTGGACTTAGACTATCAGGATGTCTTCTATATGGTCTAAGTACTGTAACCTTCTAGCCCATGATGTGGGCTGTAGTTTTTAAGATGCTACAAAATTCTTTGTTGCTTTTGCTACAATAGATTTAAGCAGGTACTCCTTTTGAAACTGTCACAACCTGTGGTGCCCTAAATCTTCCAATTATTTAATAGCGGGACAATGCAATAATATTAGATTAGATATATAATAATTATATATTATAATTATAATATAATATGATACATTATAATACAATATAGTATAATATAATATAATATGACATGTAGCCTAAAACGGATGAGATGCCCCGGTGTCAATCGTATTTGAAAGGTCTCCCATCGATTTCGGGCTCATTTGTGACTTTTTTACTGCCTGTATCTCTTAAGAAGAAAAGGAAACGTCAAAGGCAAGTCAGCAAGCCACACAAAGGCACTGCTAGCCTTGTCACCAACTGCAAGTGTGTCGACAGGACACACAGATACTGTAGAGGTATTATGGTGCATTCCTGCAGAATCCTGAGATCTCTAGTTTGGTACATGCTTGGAATTCTCTGCCACAGGGTTGTAATTCTGTAGTTCAAAGGAAAGGACTAGGGCTCTCTAACAAGGCATCCCAAGCGCCCTGGGGACTGGAACAATAGTTGTTCAACGCTAGGCCAAAGGACTGGATCTGAGTAGACACACTCTCAGAGGGAGCGTGGATTCCATTAAACCAGAGAGACCCACCACAGGAGTCTGTGTCTCATCCACTGCTGACTGTCATACTTCAGAATCAGGACCCAGCAAGTTCTTCCTAGAAGGGAAAAGAAGCCCACTCCCCTCGCCTAAAGCATGCCTCTAGGTTGGCCTACACACAAAAGCGAGTATGGCTAAGATTATTCAAGAGTAGGCAACTCCTTTGTAGACCACTAAGAAAAATCAACATACAATCCCTGAGTATTCTTGGATCAAGGCCACGAAGCTCACGTATTGTATGTCCTCTTTTTTTTTTTTAGTGGTCTATAAAAGAATGGCCTACTCTTGTATCTGTATTTTATACTGGCCACAGGGCTCCCTTTTATTCAATGCTAAAACTCTCCCCCTGCCTTTTCCGTGCAAGAGGCTCCCCCCCGTTGCTAGGCAACGGGTGCAACCCCGGGGAGGGGGCGAGAAAGGCCCAGTCAGTCAGTCAGTCAGTCAGTCAGTAGGGAGACGCTTCAAACAAAGCCCTGGGCGTATCCCTTTCTTCCTTTGGGGAGGGAAGGGGGCCGACGGAGCCTGTCGACCTCCTCTCCACCCCCGCCGGAAAGAGGCACCCCAACCACGTTGCGCCTCCACTTTAGCAACCGCGCGGATCGGCCTCCGAGGCTCGCCTCCTGAGGAGCGCGCGGAGCCGGCGCCCTATGAAGGGAAGGGAACCGGTCGGGCCCGGCCGGGGAGGCTTCGCTTCTGGAATCTTCGACGTTCCGTCGCTAGCTTCCCCTCTCTTTCTCTCCCCCCCCCGCCCTCCCCTCGGCTCTCGAGGGCTCCCGTTCCTCACCTTCGCGCCTTCCTTCAGCATCTGGGCAAAGCCCGGGGCCTTCGGCACGTGCAACGCCATCTTCGGCTGCTTCGGGCCACGCGCGGACACACCAAAAGAACCAGGAGCCCCTGCGGAGGCAACGGCAGCGGCGCGCGCAACTGACGTGCGGGCGCAGGCGCAGCAGCAAAGGGGGGGGCAAGAGGATAGATTTGAGCATGCGTGCCTCTTTTCCTTTTTCCTCCAAGCGGATGTCCAATAAATCCTCCAATTATTTAATAGCGGGACAGTGCAGTGCATTAATATTAGATTAGATATATAATAATTATATATTATAACATAATTATAAGATAATATATGTTATAATATAATATAATATGACATGTAGCCTAAAACAGATGAGGTGTCCCGATGTCAATCGTATTTGAAAAGTCTCCATCGATTTCGGGCTCATTTGTGACTTTTTTACTGCCTGTATCTTTTAAAAAGAAGAAAAGAAGGATTTTATTTATTTATTCGATTTCTATCCCGCCCATCTGGTATATTCTACCACTCGCTGCCTGACCACGTACAGGGTTTTAAAAATCATATATACGTGGAGGGGTCTCTTTAAAAAAATTTTTAAAAATGCACTGCACTTTGCAGAGGGGTAGTCTTGCACTTCAGGTTTCTGTTTAAAGAGGAGAAACTGGCAAAATAACAAACCTTGGTAAAAGAAGTCACCAGTCCAAAGTGAAACAGACTTTACAGTACTGTACTAGTAAAAAAAAGAGATTTGGACCCTCAGTGGGGCTAAGCCTAGCTGAGAAGCCCTTGGGTGATTGCTTTAGAGACTTTGATCAGGATGTACTTGTGCACTACATGTACAGCCTATGTGCTAAACTGAGATGTGAAAATTAAATAAGTGGCAATGTATTGTAGACAAGATAAATGCTTCTAACTTTTATTGTAGAGTGAATATGGGAAAGGCAATGTGGTCCTGAACATTACACAAGGGAAACAGTAGGTTATACCTTTTATTGGACCAGTAAAATTAAACAAATAGCAAGCTTTCATGGGTGAAATTGACTTCCTCAGGCTAAGCACACCTCCTTTATTGATGGCGCAGAAAACTTTTAGTTGTATTCTCGAAGGGTTTTATGGATGGGATCTGATGGTTCTTATAGTTGGTTATGTAATTTAAGATTAAAGCAAAAAGAGAGCAGTATTTTTGTTCTAAGTATCATTAAATCTATGTCACTGCATGAGAACGCTTTCAAAGGCAGTAGTGGTGTGCCATCTGAAAACTAATCTTGTCCATATCTTCTCAAAGGCCCCACTGCTTTCAATGAGAATTACTTCTTCAGTCCCAGGCAGCCCCCCAGGAGAAAGGAATGATAAACCATTTCTGAGTACATACTCCCTACCTAAAAACCCTGAAAAGGGTCTCCATAATTCAGAATTGACTTGACGGAACACAGTTACTACTATAAGTAAGTATAGGAATGTGGCCCTAAAATTGATACAGGTAGCAGTGGTGGGATGAGCAGTTGTCTGAAAAATTGTAGATATTTCAAATGAGATTTATTTTGAACATTTGAATCTGAAATGTGGTGGTTGTTTAATTTTAGTTTATAGTATGTCTATTGTCTCACGTTCCAGCACAGGATATTGTTCTGCTTGCCACTGAGGATCATTTAGTGATATTTAACACTACAATTCTATACATGTTTGTTCAGAAATATGTCCCATTAAGCTCAATATATTTTTGTTCTCAGGCAATTAATCTATAGAATATAAGCACAAATTATCAAAATGTTAAATCTTGAGTCTGCATTTGTATGTATTTTTGTTATTACTGTATTAATAAAGTGACATCCAGGCAGCCACAAGAGGGTGAACTTGTCTTTATAATATTGTGTTTTCGGCAGCATCTGTAAGGTTCTGCAAAAGGAAGTAGCATCAGTCTCAAACATGTCACATGAGAATCTTCCTTCTTGACATTTTTTTAAAATTAAACCAACGTTCAATCAGGCTGCATCTGAGCAGGAGTGGGGGATGGAAAGAAGCCTAACAGTTTCATTGTCAGTCATCTTTTAATCTATTAAAACTGCAAACTACTTCTGCTGTGAAAATTCAGTTGTGAATTCAGGTAGGGTATAAATCTCAAGACTATTTCATCAATATAATGAATACCAGCTGGTGATGGAAACTGTCTGCACAGCACTAGTTGTGATCAATTTTGTCTCCATAGTAGCCATGGGGGTACTTTAAACTGAGAGACAGTGACAGGCCCAAAGTCATCCAGTTAACTTGACAAAGAGGACTTGAATTTTGCCTCAGCAAGTATGGAAGGAGGGGCACTCTGTGACATGTGGACACTTGAAACATATCTTCCTATAGCTAGAGATCTATGAACTTCTGATGATTTTGATTCAGTGGATGCATTTTATCTGGGATTTACAGAAAGTGGCTTCTCCTATGTCAGGATATTGTAATTTTTGTAGGCCTGAACCTGGATTAAATATGATATTTATCAGCTTCCATAATGAACAGATGTGTGACTGCTGAGTCACTGTGACAGAGAAGAGGATGATGCAATGTCTGAAGAAAAGATGACACCTAGGTGGAGAAGATGATGTAATGTGTCCAGTGATTGGACAGAAGAAGCTCTGTAAGTGTATATAAGAGAACAGTGTGTGCATAATGTATTCTTCTTCTATCACTTGCCGCTATCCTCTATGCCAGTTTGTCTGATGATTGCCTGCTACGCCGAAGTGCTGCCGGTCTGTATCTTTGTACATTTTGTATAATACACGTGTCTTGCTATAGAAGAAGAACGTGTCTGTGTCTTCAATCAATTAACTCTGCATATTTTCATGGTGCGAACCAGACATCCTAAACTTGGGCTGTTTGTGCATGCCCCACTCTATGCTACTCTGTTGCACTGCAAGAAAAAAAAATGTTGAATCTACCATGTACTATAATTTCTTTTTCTGCAGTGGAAAGAGAGTAACGTGTCCCACCATGATTGTTATACTATGTGATATTTTAGAGTGGCGATGGGAAGTGATTTGTATTTGAAAAGTTGTTGTGTCACAGAGTCTGATGTCTGGACATCCTCTGAGAACCCTGTAAAACTTTACAAACCTCTAGGAAAAAATCAGAACACATGTGTTCATCACAGCTGACATTTATCCCATTTCAGTGTGAACTCCAGAATGAAATCAGACAGTCATTTCTAATCATATTGAAATTAATCTGGGTATCAAGGTACAACTTTATTCACTGTTGCACTAATTCCAGGCAACCTCAACTTAACTAATTCTTCAGGCTTTGTTTATCTTCGTTGCTTCTAAGTTCCACAAGCACAAAAAAATTGTCAAAAACGAAGAAGTTAAAATGTATTGAAAACATTCTTACAACTATGAGAAAAACTGTAGGCACAAATACCTAGAAATATATGAAAACTAAACTTAAGTTGCAGGCAGATACTCGAGTCAGAATTCAGTCCAAAAAACAGGAACATAAATAGTACAATAAAAGGTAAAGGTTCCCCTTGACAATTTTTTTTGTCCAGTCATGCTTGACTCTAGGGGGCGGTGCTCATCCCCGTTTCCAAGCCATAGAGCCAGCGTTTTGTCCGAAGACAATCTTCCATGGTCACATGGCCAGTGCGACTTAGACACGGAACACTGTTACCTTCCCACCGAGGTGGTCCCTATTAATCTACTCACATTTGCATGCTTTCCAACCGCTAGGTTGGCGGGAAATGAGACAAGTGACGGGCGCTCACTCCGTCGCGTGGATTCGATCTTACGACCGCTTGGTCTTCTGACCCTGCAGCACAGGCTTCTGCGGTTTAGCCCGCAGCGCCACCACGTCCCTAAATAGTACAATAAAGAATGTTTAATTAAACTCTTAAAAAGCCAAGAGCTTATAGCCTAAAGGGGCACATATAAGCCCCCTAAAGGTGCCTAAAGAGGCACATTGAAAAGTAGAGAATACATTTCCAAAATGCTTCACTTAAAAGTAAAAAGTGTTATAACTTTAATATTTAGCCTTTAAGCATATTGCAGCATACACATGAAAAAATATGAAATAATGTTCTCACCCAGCCAAGCCAGTTTAAATCTATGGAGGAAAACCTATATTGTCTTCGTCTACTGCTGTTGTTACTGCTACTACTACATGATCATGGTTAGTATCGGGGCAGGGGTAGCATGTTGTGTTTATGAGTTGATGTGTGTCCTCCCCCCATATTTATATTTCTCTCAGATGTCTCCACCTCCCTGCCCCCAACACGGTGGATGCTAATAACAAGCAAACAAAGATTTTCCTCCATAGGTTCAATCTGGCTTGGCTAAGAACATTATTTCATATTTTTTTAACGTGTGTGTTGTAAATATGCTTAAAGGCTAAAGATTACTTAAAGTTATAACACTTTCTACTTTTAAGTGTAGCATTTTAGAGATGTCTGCTTTTCCTGCAAGTTATAGAGTTTGATGCACCAGCAGAAAATGTTTAAAAGGAACTTCCATTACTTTTGCACCTCCTGTAACACAACATACTTGTGAGAATCTGGCAAGCTGCCACTATAATGATAAGTGAAATTCTTTTGTCTAACGGTTTCAGAGCCTATAGATTTCAGTGGATTGAAGTAAAATTAAATAGTGGAGCAAATCACACCATCTCTGGTTATACTACATATTGCAACATTCTCCACAATACAAATTAACCATCTCAATACCCTTATTTACTTCCATGCTGTACTAGAAGTACAGTATTACTTCCATGCTGTACTGTCAACCACAAAATAAATTATTTTGTAAGGCAATGTTTATGTACAGTGACCTGACTCAGCTGGAGAGCTAATTGTTTTACAATGACTTTTGGTAAGCTGTTGTTCAAGTCTCATTTTTAAAGCACAGTGTACATTTTCAGGGCTACGTTTTCTACACCTCCCTTAATTATTTTCACACTATATACAGAGAATCTCATATCTTGAAAACTGAATTAGTTAATAGTGCACATTTTGAGTTAATGTTTTCTTCAGCTGTGGAACTGAGAGTGATCGCTCTCCACACAGGAAAGGCAGTTAAGCGTGATTCACTGCAGGACTGTCCCTCTTGGAGAAGTAGGAAGAACTTACATGCTCTAGACTCTTCTCCACCTACAGTGGAAGCAGAAA